TTAATTCGAGATTGATCGCGTTGGCATTTTCCTGGTAAGAAAATTAACGCGGTTGCACAGCATTGACGGCATTTCAACTGTGAGATATCTGATACGCGATCTCTATGTTGTTGACTCGGGATACCGGTCCATTCGGTGCTTCGAGTACTCAAGTACTTCCTTATATCTACTGCGCGCGTCACGTGTACGACCTGATCGTTACATAGTATCGCCGTGTTATCATCAGACTTGCCACGCGTCGTTGTTTCTACTCCATGGAAAAGTAAGGAAAGCAAGGAAAAGTAATGCCGTCTTTATATAAGATCTAATGATTTGAAATTAAATTACGATCAAGTTGTAAAAATGACTGTTTATTCTAGGTAGAAAAGAATTTGATTACTACTTTGTGTAGTGATGGCTATTCTTCTTGTAATCTGTATTAATTTTGCATTATAACAATTATAAAATAGTAGATTTGGCTTTAATGTATATAGGGTAGTAATTTGCAATTTATAAGAGTTAATATAAAACAAAACTTATATAATTTAATTTTTTAATTTTAAATTTTTATATCTTTCTGTTAAATATCTGCATAAAATTGGAACCATACACACATACGTTTATTAAAATAAAATCTATATTAAAATATTTTATATTTTTTAGCTGCACAAAAGTTTAAGTTTACGAAGTGATTATAGAATCAATTTTTTTTTATAAACAAATAGCTGTTTTGCCATATCTTCATAAAAAAAACTTGTTTTAAATTTCTCTTAAAATACGAATTATATTATTTAATCTATTCTTCCAATATAAAAAAATTTTTGAATTTATCCCTTTGACAATGCTCTTAACAATTAATCATTAACTAATTAGGAAGAGGGAGGGCAGATTCCAGCTAGGATTCGTTTTGCGAACGACAATCAGCTTCTCGAAGCGCGGATCTCGAGGCGATTTCCGTGCGGCGTCTATTAGCGATCTAACGAAGATCATGGCGCGATCAGGAAGCGTATTACACCTCGTTACACACGCACACACTCACGTGCATCGAGTTAAGGCCGGTCCCCGTGATCGCGGAGCACGCGACGATCCAGGAAACGCCGGCAGGCGGGATAATGTGGACGACACAAGGGGCCCTTAACAAGCTTGGACGAGAGGCACATGCGCGAACGCAATGCTGCACCCAACTAGGCTGACTTTCCGAGACCGCCCGCATTGACGACGAGAAGGGAAAGGAAGAGAGAAAGATAAAGAGAAAGGGAGGAAGGGGGGATAATAAGAAACATATACCTCGCACTGCTATAATGAGAAATATGGCGCGACCGCTAACGCACCGGCCCGAGCTCGGACTTTTTGTCGCGGTGCACAGTCTCCTTTCGTTTTAGAGCATCACTACTTTAACTATTTTTGAATGACAGAACCTGATTGCTAAAAAAAAATTGCTAGTATATAAATATACACATTATTAAATGGTGTTGAAAGTAATTCTGAAACGTTGGCGGTAAAATAATTAAAAATAATTATTTTTTAAAAAGATAAGAAAATTTTTCGATATGAAAATTAATAATAAAATATAAAAAATTAAATTTCCTAAATAAAAAATTTTTATTAATAATGTATTATTGTTTATATATTCAAAATATTTTTAGATTTTGGGAATATCGTATTGAATAAAGTACGCATTTTTATTGCTCGTGTTCATCAAGAAAATAAATAGATTAGAGTTTATCGATCATAGGCGTTGACATTTACAATTTTCTCGATCGAGATATATTCTTTGGTAATAGTATAGAAAAAAATATTCTCAATATTCTCAAAAATACTTGAAATATTAATTGATGCATTGTTATATATTTTACTCTTTACATTTAAAGATCTAATTAAGAATATGTAATTATTTATTTAGCTTGTGTTAAAATTGTAATCATAAAAATATTCCATAAAAATTGAATAATCTTTTATGGATAAATATTTTTACTGCAAGTGCAGAATCAATTCATTAACTTTTTTTTTTAATCAAGAAAATATCGATGGAAACTGATACTTTCAAATTACAAAAAGGTTTCAACAAATGAAATCTTTTTTGCGAATTAAGTTTCAGGCATATAAATAAATTTGATATATATGTTAAAAATTATGGTTTATATATTTTTTGCATACGCAGCATATATAACATATAGAACTGTCTTAGCAAACATTGACTATGAAATAATGCAAGATCCAAGTCGATCCTCCTGAAATAATTACTGTGATTTAATTACCACTAATTTTGTTCGTAAAACGCACATTATTGCAGTACGGTAGACTACTTATGACTCTCGAATGCTTTTAAAAATGATCGAATTGTCAATATAGACAAGAGATATCGAAGATACAAATTAATTTCGATCGCCGCGTTGGCGATATACGGAAAACGGAAACGCTCGTAACTTGCGACGGTTCGCTGCGTTTAGTTTTATCTGCCATGTTTATCCTGTACTTCGCTATGATAGTATGTGTGGCATATTAAGTTGCTTTCCTGAAACTATGCATAAACAAGATAGAAGCCCGCGATTTCCGTACCATATATATACACACACACACACACACACACACACACACACACACACACACACACACACACACACACACACACACACACACACACACACACACACACACACACACACACACACACACACACACACTGCTACTTAGTGTACTACGTGACCTAGCGTAATATAGTGACCGCGCGATTCAGCAACACGGAGGCTTAACAGATCAGTTGTGCAATTTCTGCTGGTAGTAATTTTTAACTCCTTTAAATCCCATGAGGGGATTCATTTCATAAATTATATCGTGGAAATGAAAGGAACCAAAGAAATAAAAGTAAAAAGAAGTATTTCAATTAATTCCTAATAGATTTCATTTTTATTAAGATAATAAGTGTCACGATATTAATCTTTCTATTTTAAACATTAATTTCTGACGACTTTAAATAATAATTTCTCTGACAAACTTTTATATATATATATATATATATATATCCGCTAAAACACTTGAAAATATATTTGTACATACATTCTTCGCGGTGGAAGGCTTCAGTATGTTAAAGATGTAGCGAAGGTGTTGGGAACTTAGCGGGATGTAATGCTTACTTTGCGTAGAGTAAGAGAGGGATCATTAATACAATTAATAATTAGCTAGTAATGGAGGAATGGTTGAGTCCTGCGTATGCACACACCATTACCGTTACAATCCCACATATCGCATTAAGAGAATTGCGAGAGATAGCGAAGGCGCACGTCCTTCAATAAAATTGTCTCCCCACGGATCCAAGATGATGACGGCTTATAGACCCCGACGATGTCAAGATCACCGAAACCACTGTCATCTTCTCCGTGGGAAATAATTTAAAATTATTGTTACGCGATCGATGGCAGATTAATCATGATTAATACCGACATTGATATTAGATAACACGCAAGATAAAAAAAAAAAGAAATAAACGAATCGATCGCATAGCGTAACGATTATTTCGTGCCGTTAGTTTGCGGCAGGATTTACTAATTAAGTGTTACTCATCGATATCGAGGAAATTGCAGAAGTTAGACACAAGTTAGGCGTATTACATAGCTCGTAGCGCCATGACGCTGCTTGACGTCTCGGCTTTTGTCGATCGCGCAGTTCATTCATATTCAAGAAATCTGAGAATTTCTCTTGTTTAAAATAAAATGATGCAAGGAAACATAAATTCATTAAACATTACAAGCAGACTGATATATTTGACAAAGAGTTAGAGAGTTACATTTTTTTTAGCTATTATCAATTTGATCACTGCGTGATAAATTTTATGTATTCATTACATTCAAGGATACATTAATTAATGACACATTAATTATAAATGATGTCGCCGTAGCGAATAGGAATTTATAAAGTCTAGCGATAAAAAGTTGACTTGGAAACATCAGAAAGAGATCTGCAGAAGTGAAAAATCGAGCGGGAGGAATCTCAGATGCGCGTGATCTTAATTAAACTCGTTGACAGTACCGAAATTTGTTGTGTCTCCCATCTCTGCGAGATTAAGCGATGATGCTGTGTCGCGCATCAGCGGTATTTCGCACGGCCGCATGCGTAATTTCCCGGCCAGGCCGCTTCTTGGAAGTGACCGTCGAGAGTCGAGATCGCCGGTGAAGAAGCCAGCAAGAGAGCAAGAGAGGAGTCGTCGCGAATAATTTCCACAATCTGGGATCGCTCTCTAGGGCCGTAATTTTTTTTTCTGGGATACAAGACATCGCGGCATCGCGAGGTAAAATCATTTTGCGCCATCTCTCTCGGCTCTCTTGTCTTTCTTTCTCCGTCTTTTTCTCGACTGACTTTTCGTGCACTTTTATAGTGGCAACGTACATTAAATTCTGCCCGCGTATGCACGCTCGTATCGTGAATCGTACCGGAAGATCGTCCTTGCGAATATGTCCCGTAGCGTAAACTCCACATTTTATCAGATTTTAATTCCACAAACGGTACTCTTGGACCTCACGCACCTGAATCCTCGCGATGTACTGTTAAACGAAATTTGAAGGGTCCGTTTTATCGGAACTCACCGTTTAATTTCAAAAGCTTATATGATTCCACATTTTCGATTTAAATATATAAATTCTAGGCCAATTATAAATCTAAATTTTACATTCCTGTTTAATTATATATTATAATTTAATAAAATACAATTTGATTGAATGGAACTGTAATAATTTTTTCGTCAGTGTATTGTTGAACGTAATTAAAAATTCTTTAATACATTTCATAGACTTATCACCTTATCTATTCGAGACGATTTCAATGTCTGCACAGTTAAATTAATTTATATATATTTTAAAAAATATCTTTTTAATTATATCGCTCGGAATTATTATATCGCTTTTGCAAAGCCGATATATTTTTTCAACCTAAAAAATCAAGCAGCGCCATTTCTCTCGATTTCTCTCGCTCCGCTACATATGCAGGATATGTCGCAGTTTGTATGGTGTGATATTGCCTGGACTCACCAATCCTCTTCACGTGGACGTCTCGATTGAAGGAGACGCTCCTCTCGGCGGGCTTCCACTCGGAGTCGGAAGCCCCGGGCGCAATGGGGGGTAGCAAATGTGAGCCGGGAGGGTTGCAGCCTTCTCCGCCTCCTAGCAATTCCGAGCGTTGTATCGTGAGCATCTTGCCTTTCCACCTTTTCTCCCGATCATGCCACACGACCGACCAGGAACACCTTTCCCCCGTTTCGTTCGCCCCAACCCGCGTCTCGTGTATTGTATTTAAACTTTTACCACCCCACTCTACAGCGTTCTTATCCCCGCTCTTATCTTCCCTTTTCCCCTTTTCTGCTCTCACGAGCACACCCGTAGACCCGATCACCGACCTGTAAGCCAAGCAAAGCTGCCCTTTTAATATCTAAGATAATGTTATCGATAGATATTTACGAGTTTAATCCCCTCTTTATTCGATGATTAGTCCGAAACCATTTGTTCGTTCGATCGAAAGCATGAGAGTTTGTTTGGATATTTACTTTAATAGGATTTTTTGAAAAAAAAAAATAAATATTATCACAATATTAATTATAGACGATTAATAAACGTGTAATAATATAAATTGTGTAATTTGATAGGGGGTGTCGATTGTAACAAGCTCTTCTAAACTTACTCCGTTTTCCAAACAAACAATCGGCTGAATTGTTCCTCAGTTGTCATGAGAGTGCAGTTTACGTTTGAGAATGCGCGCTTTTTCTGTACACATGATATTTCTACGAGCGCCCGTGCGTGCCCGTATACGTGTGCGTATGCATGCGTGAAAAACGTGAGAGAAAGAGAAGTGATAGCATCGTGCGGTTCCCCCGGCGACGTGTCTATACTAGCGCATGCCAACTGTAGGTAGATGATGATAAACGCAACGAGTGATAATGGTTCTCTTTGTCGTCATGCAGGCAGATGGGATACTCGAGATACGTGCAACGATATAATGACAGTGACAGGGATGACGGTGACGGCGCATAATATCGGCAATGGATTCGCCGATGAGAGCTTTGCTAATAGGGGCGATTGTGCGATAAGGCCGCGGTCGTAGCTTTTTCCTTACATCCGTCCGCATTAAGCGTTATCGTAATTACGGCCCGTAATCCGCAGGATTCTGGACGTAACTCCGTGGTTTGCCTATCGATGCTACAATCTAAACGCAACGACACCTAATTTAAATTTCATAGAGGCTGAGGAGCTTCAAAGCGTCATGTCGCCGGCTCGAGGCAATGAGATACGAAACTCGACTCGACTTTAATTAATTCCTGATACGGCGCGAATAAATTGTTCATTTTCATTTTTGTCATATTTCGTGTTTTGTCATTAAATATTTATTCTATGTACGAGAAGAACAGTATTCGTTATATGAAAATATTGCTTCGTATATATATACACTCTTGTATCATAATACTTCTAAATTTAAAGTATTTTTTTTAATTGAAGAAAAATATCTTGAATTTAGAGGCATTATACACGATATAATTAAAATTAAGAATGTAGCCTATTTTTTCTTATTAATTACTCAATTTATCGTAAGTTTGTTCACAAAGTAACAAACAACAGTAAGCAATTTGTTAGTCTTCAACTTTTATATCCAAGTCTATTTCCATCGCTTAAAACATAAAGTTCTCAAAAATAATTACAGTCATAATATTTTGTAAAAAAATTAATCAAATACACGCAATAGAATTTTTTTCTTCGAAATAAAAACAAGAGGCTCACAATCCGAAATATAATAAAACTAAGGGATCCCAATCATAACTAATTAAAATAATAATTACGCTCTGATAATCAATTGCCGTGAGACGTTATTTGTTTTCATGAATTTAAATCGATAAGACAATTAATCTCATCGCACTGTGTAGAAGCAAAACGGTTGGACATGGTCACCTGGATAAAAACGATTCTAAAAATACTGCTGACGATGGTCATTCGGACGACACTCAAGCGGAAGCGTCGGGACTGCTCATTATCATTATAAGCGTTTTATTTCACTAGATGTTTTTCGCGCTATCGTGTAAAAACAACATCCTCTTTTTTTCGAAAAGTCGGCCTTCGTCGCGATCCTTTTACTGCGCGAAGTGGTTTCAACATTGCGACGCGTGCAACCAATGCACACATTCTATGCTTCGAAATTCGTCATTATCGATGGTCAGATTCAATTTGAAAATTTAAATTCACTGTATCTTTTAAAAATCTCTCGAAGTTTTTTATCTTTAAAACAATAGATTTTTTTTGTTATGCTTTAGATATAATTAAAAGCTTTACGAATTGATTTTAATAAGAAGCTGTCCTATTTTGAGACACATATCTAATCTATCACACACACACACACACACACACACACACACACACACACACACACACACACACACACACACACACACACACACACACACACACACACACACACACACACAATCATACGCGGCAGAAGCTCTTTGAAAAAATCGCTGAAAGGAATTAACATTCATCGTGCGTTTTTGTCCACTCACGATCAGGCTACCTGCCCTTGAAACAAATAAAGGTGACCCTTCACGCGCGCGTACACGTCCATCTCTCAAGGCCATCTGACAGAATGACACGTTGTCTTGACAAGTCCTCCTCGCACACGTGACACGTGGGGGCGAGCCGTCACTCAACGACTTTATTAGCCCCGAGAGAACGCGAGGAAAAGAGAACGGATTTCAAATGAGACAATTCGCATGAACCCGATCCAGAGATTAAGATACTCTCGGGAGGCTCGGTAGCCATATTTGGCAAAGAGGTCCTCAGAAGTCCCCAGGCTGTACCTCGTGGGGATCCTCTATAAAAACCGACGTTAATATATTTTTTTTCAGATTCGAGAAGTTTACGACGAGATTCCCTCGCGCATCGACTCCCACGCGCCTTCTACTAGTCGCCCTAATCGCGCGCAGAAACGCCCGATTCGATCCGGAGGGGGCAAAAAGAAATCGGCGATGGGCGCAGGTTTCGACTGGACCGCATCTAATGTACGAGAAGACCCTCTAATGCGTCCTTCTTTACCCGCCACGGCGTTGGATAACAGTAAAACGAAGGATAAGAATGTGTTGCTAAGTGCAGCGATACGACATGGCTATATTGTCGCGATTTTAATTTCATCCTATGCATTCCACGACATATATTTTTTTTTCTTTCTTACGAGGAGACGTCGGAAATTAAGATAGTTGACGGGTAAGCGAAGAAAATTACGTCGAGTTATGCGAGAACAACATCGTATCGCACTTTTCGTAAAAATGCTTTTAAAATATGTTCGAGATGGTATCTTACGTTATTTTTTAATGTATATAATATTTTATTGCTGCATAAAGATAATATTATGTCACATGATTTTATAAATTTTATAGTATCTTTGTAATGAGAATTATTTTGTATTTTTTAAATACATAAAAAATGAATCAAAAATTTAATTTACTTCTTTAATGTTATATCAGTAGCGAAAATTTTATAATCTCGTCGGACATGTTGACACACGCATGATATGTAGGATTCGCTAATACATGTTATTTGCTGCTTCCTGATGTTGCATAACAGCGCGAGCAGAAATAATAAAAATGTAGCTTCTCTTCTGTCGGATTATGTGACAACGCTCACGTTCTATATAAATTCTGTGGTAATTTCACGTTGCGATGTCCTCGTCCTTAGGTCATTAGCGGCGGCGAGGTCCGGACAAAAGCGCGATCAAATTCCTTCTCTCTCGCACATTAGAATCAGAAATCTTCACGAAGCGGTGAGACAAAAGTAAAAAAAAATCAGAGAGAATATTAAAAGGGCGAGGTCGTGTTCCCGTGTACCGTTCCAAATGTTTTTCTCTAACGGTGTCGCGCCCGTCTTTGAAATATTTCACATTCGTTACGAGGCAACGGTGCGAAAATCGGCGTCGCGCCGGCAATAAAACCACATCAAGCTCGGGTTATACGACACTATTTTCTAGCCCTATAACGCGCGCGTTCGCGGATATCGCGACGTAATAAACACTCCCGTTTCACGCGCAAAACGTTTAGCACCTTCCTCATTGATTTTTATTGACGTGGCGTGTAGAAACCCGATAATAAAATCGGAGGTAACGTCCGTCCCCGTATTCAGATGCCGAAGGATTCGCTCGACCATCGGAGGTGCGAAGCCTCGCAATCGCAGGTCGCAATCCAATCGCTGTTAGAAAATTACTGCTGGATTATAGAGCACGAGAGAATTCAAATGGAGAGACAATCATAGATGGTTTATACACGGTGCTGTAAGAACTCCACGTAATTTTCCCATAGCAGCTTCCACATAGCTTAATGATAAGTTTAAAACTCAGACTTCTGGAGTTGTATTTTCTACACGAGATTTTTATCCGCATAAGTCTTAGGAAAAAAATCTCTATGTACTAATAAAATATTAATATAATAATTGTCTATACTATATTAATACTAATATATCTCTATATAGTTAAAGTTTCATATATATAAAAGATTCTATTTTAATATTTTTAATAATTAAATAATTAGATATTTTTCATATTGACAATTTTTTTCCTCATTAGTCTGTTAAAAAATTTCTGAGCTATTTTCTATTTTCATGTACTTTTTATCTGCATTACAAGACTTTGATTAAATTAACCTTAATCCTTCACAATCCTCTGCTGATAAATTTTCTTAAATTAATCAAGAATAATTATTTTTCACACCAATTTGAACGTAAAAATTACGATTGTTTCTTCTCGGGCGGGTCGTTGAACACGCTTGTTCACGAAACAGGTTGATGAGACTCGTTACCTTTTCGTCTGGCGAAGCGATGCGTTTCACAGTTAATATCGTCAGACTGCCCAATAAATTTGCGCGGTCGTCGTATAGTCGTCGTATAATCGTCGTATACCGAAAAAAAAAGATACGCCCGTACTTTCGACTGGGTGCTCATTACGAGCGCCACGTGCGAATCCGACGCTTACTTTTCTCAACAACTGTTCTCGCAAATCCGAAACTCGCCTTTCGTTCCTAGCCGTCGTCCGTTACGCCGCGGCACTCGGAGAATCGGCGAGGCCGGGGAAAGATTTTAATTTAGATCGCCGCGCGCGCATGAAGAGAAGAATCGCGCCGCGCTCGTGTAAAAGCCGGGAGGAAACCTCGCGCGCGTGTTCTCTCGTGCACCGGCACCACTTATAAAATTCCTGCTTCGACGCTGCCCTTCCCGCGACGCTCCACGTACATCCCTACGAACCTTTATCTTTAACAGCTTACAAGCACTCCGTTCGGGACGAATCCCTGCCCCGTTTACGCCCGACACAATTTCCCCGATAGATCCTATCTCGGATGCGCTTTGAGCTGTTGAGAATTTTTCAGTTTGTTCGTCTCGATATTGCTTTTTCCTCGGTTTTTTTTTTTTTTTTTTTTATTACGTCGTGACTTTATAATTCCTTCTACTTTTAACATTTTCAGGCTCGTTTGAATTATTTCTTGCATATTAAAACAGCGGCTAATCGTTTCCGACATGAAGACAATTTTCCGAGTACAATTTACATAAATTATTTTGCAACGTTATCATTGTTATAATAACAAGCTTCCGGCTTTATATAGTTATTTATATGGCTTTATCATTATAATAAAAAAATATGCACAAATCTGTAAAATTTTAATGACACTTTATATTCTATTTGAAAAGATAAATGGAATTACCATAAATTATTGTCAGAGCACATTTATAAAAAGATTAAGATTTCAACACGAAAAGCTGTCGAACATAAATTCGATCTTATCTCCGCATGATAGAATAATTATTTTACAAAAATAATTTTGGAACAGTAATTTTTTTTGACTCCTATATATTGATTAACTTCCTATATATTGATTATATACATTTATTAAATTCTGAATCCAAGATAAAAATATTTTCCATAATAATCCAATCTTTCGACTTTTAAAGGACGGTAATGAATATTACTTGAGAAAACGAACCGTTACTGTACCGTTCTAACCAATGCGGAAATATGACTCAAAACTAATAGAACACACCGAGACACAGCGCAACACGAGCATGACGCAGATGCCAGAAATGGAAATGGAAATCACTGGTGAGTCGCGAGAAAAAAGAAACCACCGCGGTCGCTTTATTTGCGTAACGTTTGCGACGCGTAATTATTACGTTCCGCGCATCTTACATTCGTCGCTCGATTATGCGGGGCAATCTATCGATTTTATCCGCAGCCCAGTGGAGAAATCTGGACGCCGCGCGAAGGGTCACGTTACGCGGATGCATTATGGTGAATGGATCCAACAACGGCGGATTCCCCATCGAAGGCGTCCCGTCCCGTCTCTTTCTCGCTCGCTCGTGCGCGAGTAACACTGACACACTTCGTACACGTCAAGGCCGAAAGTTCTCCCGGTGCACGGTGCTTATCGTTGCACCGTCTCGTGTATTCGTCTTCTTTATACTCGGCGTACGTCTCTATCGCGGCTTACACGCGACGCATGCCCGCCCGCCATACGCCGTGCCGAGAGACGCCGTGCGATAAAACCGTATCGGGAGATTCAGCGAGGGGATTTGCACCTCGGGCTGATGGGCATGATCTTCATCTTACGAGTGCGGACAGGCGAGGGGGCGAAAGGAAAACAGGGAAAAATGAGCAATCGAGCTCCGCGCACCGAATCTCTTTATAATGAATGGTTCTCACGGAGAACGTCATAATATAAATTGTTTTTATAATTAAAATTAATTTTTGCATCAGATTTTAATTAAACGTTTTTAATTAAGCGTGCTGGAAGAAGAGAGAAAGAGACTTCGAAATATATGTCCGATTATTGATTTATTTAAATTACTTTTTTGAAAAATGAAACTGTTTTTTAAAATGAAAAAAGAAAATAATCTGATTATATTTTCAAAATATAAAAATAATAAATAATATATAAAAATAATATTTTAATATAATCAATTACATAGTGATTTTTATTTGGAAAATTTGGATCAACTGTAATCTTTTGTTGTAATGATTTGATAAATTTCTTTACATGTCTTTAATAAGTAAAAATACTTATATTTAATAATATACAATATAATTATCAACAAGAGAAATATATTTTTATTGATAATGATAAAAATAAAAGTAAAAATTGATCTTAAAATAAAATTATAAAATTTACGGGCAAAATTAATTAATAAACAAGTATTATATATTTAAATTTATAAAATTAAATTGACAACTATGTAATATTTCTTTAAACCGCTTCCAAGTTGCTTGTCATCGACAAATAACACGGTAATTATGGAGCGACTGTCATATGTCGCACTTATTAAAACTCATTCAACATGCCAGATTCGACGATTCAGAGGCGCGTTAATTCGACTGATAGTGTCGTAAATCTTTCGGCATATTAATTCGAGAGACTCGCCTAATCTCGACGGCGACAGAGAACCTCGAGGATGGACTCGACTGTCACACGTGCTGGACATTTCCATAAATGTTTATTCGCGCTGTAATCGGCACCCTCGAACGTCGGCGCGTTGTTAATACGGCCGCATCAATGAATAATACGCGTACCTCCTCTCCATATCCTGCTCGTCCCCCGCGAGGGCCCTCGCGTCATATCGCGATCGCTCCCCATAGCGAGCGGACAAGGAGCTCGCGTATGATCGGCCGACTCGATCTCGGAACGGGCAGATTAAACGCCTAGATTCGCGAGCGCGCGCCGCGAGAGAGGCCTAGCTGCCTAGCCGCACACGCAGTGATTAAAGTGTCCGTTAACGCGAGTTAATTGATCTTTCAGTTAATGGGATATTACCCTTCCGCTGGATTTCTGGTTTGCCCAGCGCCAGACCGGCCGACCAGCCGGCAGATCCAATCTGCGCGCGAAATAACTCGCGCTCTCGCTCTCGCGCGGGATTCTCTATAATCTATTCGGCCCCGAACGCACAGCGCGCAGAAAACCTACCTATCCGACCTATCGAAGACGCTCCGATCGTTTCCCTTTCGATCAACGCTCGTTCGCGGCGACCTGCCGTGGTTATAATCGAGCCGAGCGTATTTGTCGGCTCGATCCGGAGCGCGGACCGACTTTACGGCCGGTAACATCCTCGTCATCGTCACAGTCGTCATCGTCATCGATACGCATCGAGATCACTTTGTCCCTATCGATATTGGATTTACCTTTACTAATACAGTAGCATGCCGATCGCTTAGATATCCGGTATATTCTCTTTAAAGACACGCCCCTTCAGGTACAATCGGTTCCTCAAGCGGAACCAGAAGAGCGAGAAAAACAAGGGCTCTGTTTTTCGCTCTTGGAGAGACTTTGTTATATTAGAACTGACACTCTCACGTTCGGCAACTGTCACTATCACCGGACCGCGAAATACGTGGGGTCGATTTGAGGGACTAAACACCACCGATTACAATTGATCGAGGCGAAGACGTTTGTTTCGTGCCTTGCCTTTTCTGGAAAAAAAATTTTTGACACTCGACGTCGTTATCCGACACCCAGAGACGTAACACCCAAGGCCGGACAACACACGATACTGGGTAAACCGCTAACCCGATCTTTTTTAAATTGTCTTGCACTTGACGAGATATATCCGGGATATCACTTTGGTATTACGCGATCTCTCATACCCGAACTCGCTCGTATCGACACCTCGTCTCGCTGATAGCACTGATGAACGAGTTCGTACCTCGCGCGACTCAGCTGCAGGGACGACCCGGATGATCAGGGGTCTGGACCAGGGGTACAGACGCGCAGACCGCCGCCACGCACACGCCGCTCGTTCTCCGTTCGTTCTCCGCCGAGCGCCGAAGAACTAATAAAAGCTGGGACCCAAGCTTGAAACTGCGTAGGCCGCTTACTACTCCTTCCACCGCGGCACTCCGTCCTATCCCACCGGTGTACTGGACCCGAGCACCGACAGAGACAGGCAGGAGAGTAGGCACGGATGGACGGACAGACGAACGGACGGACATAGCACGGACGTACAGAGCGATTTCAAGGTATACACATGCCGAGAACCGCGACGAGTCTCTAGGTAAATAGTGTTAGCCCTCGAACGAATCCTTAAAGTGTGGATGGATCGATAAATGACTAGACAGCATTATCAATTCAGATAATTCAACTTTTGCTCAAGGGAAATTTATTATATTTTGCTTACTACTATTACTATAATTGTTGACCTCAACAGTTCAGATTGATCAAGTGATTTTATAAAATTAGAACAATAAAATTAGACATTAGAAAATTGAAATGTTAGCAATCTTGCTAGAAATATATTAAGTAAAGGGTGTTGTAATATTTGATTTTGATTTTATTATTTAAATTGTATTATTTAGATATTTCTATTGAAACTTTAAAAATTTTGACTTTTAGAAATTTTTTCAAGTTGAACTTCTTTTAAATTTGTCATTAAGATAAATAAAAATCAAAGAAATAATAAATGAAAAGCCGCTCTATTATTAAAATGATGTACGCATTTTCTTAGTATGAAATTTACTTACGTAAGGAATATATTAATCAAAGTTGGAGAGTAATAAATGAAAGATGTTATGAAATCATTAATGATCATCGATCAAACGATTACTAGTGAATGATTCTTTAAACGCAATTATTAAAAGCTAGCATTACATGCGTCGTTTTCTTTGATAAAAATAAAAATAACAAGAAACAAGAAAGAATATATATTCAAGCGTTGATACATTGATGCAGCTGTTATCCGTGCATTCTTCAAGAAAACTTCAGATGTAAATGTTGTTTTGAAAGGCTTCGATGTCTTTTTAATGGTGCATTTGTAAAAAGTTTTATAAAATTGAGATTTTTAATGTATTTGAAATCTGTGCGTTATTTGTTAATAATAAATTTAAAGATAGATTTATTTAAAGAAGAAAAATACAATTTCAAAATAAATTCGTATACCGTTTCTCATTAAATTCTGCTTGATATCGTCGTGCGCTGAAAAAGGTTCAATGGCTCGATAATTTCACGATACTATGACCTGATTAATATCTTTAGCCAAAAAATTGATGTCGATTGGTACTGACCGATGATGAAAAATACATGGTGTCAAATGTCTGATACATCGTATATCAGTGGCATCACTATACGGAGCTCAGCTGGCGTTAGTCACTCGAACTACCTGATGCTGCCGTTTCTGCAAGTCTCTCTCTCTCTCTCTCTCTCTCTCTCTCTCTTTCTTTCCTTATCTATCTATCTATTGTAATCTGTATTGTAACATCTGATCAAAACGGCTCGATGACTCGATCGTTTCACAATAGTTCCGCCTGATTAATACCTCGGCTAAAATTGATGTCGATTGATATTGATGATGAAAGGTACACAGTGTCAAGTATTCGATACCTCGCGCAAACATATCAGTGCCATCACATCGGGTCCATCGAGGCGATCGGGTCCAATCTGGCGCTGGTCACTCGCACTGACCGTCATTCGTTGCTTCTGCAAATCTTCTGTCTCTTTCTGTCTCCCTCTCTTTTCTTCTTGACCACTCTTCCCACCTACCTATTCTCTCCCTACCTGACCGATTGCACGCCGCTGCCGCTGGTGAACGTCACTCGGTCAAGGTTCCCCACCAAAAACCTGCAGCAGCGACGCGGCACTGCCAACGCTCGTTCGGCCCTGCCACGTCTGACTTGGTCCACGGACAATGCTATACTTGGTGTGAACCGACGATCGCCAGGCGAGGGTGAGGCTCCCCGAATCGTCCTCGAGCGTTTTAGCGATGCCAAGTGAATAGAGGTATAAATATGGACTTCGGCCTTCAGCACATACTCATCGTACATTTCACGTTATGTTAAATGCAGCTATTTCATTGTTGACACTGAGTGCAATCTTTTTACATTAGTAGATCTACCGTTTGCGCGCGTATAAATATCGTTTGGCATTAAGCAGCAAAAATACGTCAAGTAGTAAAATATATAATTTTAAAGCAATTCGATATATCTTTATAAATTTAGATATTCAAGGTTTTTGATTTTTTTATGTAATCAAATAACGAACTCCTGAGACGATTAATTATATATACAAGATGCATAATAAAATAGAAAAAATTATCTTTTGAACTATACTCGTATGTTTTAGATATTTTTTTATATTACGAATTAATTTTTACAAATTTTTTGTTTGTGATGTATGGAGTAGCCAAAGTTGGTTTTTTAATTATATACAATAAAATATGCATATTGAAAAAAAGATTATTGATGTTAGTCACTGAAATTTCTACAGGTTAGGTATCAATAGTTAGGGGGCAAATATTTATGGTCTTGGAGGAACGTGGATTCGCGATCACGCGTCGACGGTTGGCATCACGGACGGTAGCATATCCCGATAATAACAGGATATTTTATGATCGATTTGGCGGATAAGCGTGTTTACGTTAGAGATCTGGTCTTGGACTTTATACAGAGTCCCGTGCGGCATATCGAGCGTGGTGTTGAGATGATACGCGGCGTTTCAGCGAATATGACTATAAATAAAGAAAATAACGAGAAGAGGCTACTGGGTCGGCCAGGCCGGCCGAGAGTAACTGGCACGCAGGAGGCGAGTTACGGAGAGAAAATTGTGTGCACTAAATATAAGTATCAAGAAGGAGTATATATAGCGGCGTAGAGAGTAGAACGGACAGAGTACAATTACACGTGATTGAGGATCGGTCTTGTTTCTATTTTGTCTTGATTTCTGTGAGTAGTTAGCTCTGATCCCGCGTGGCCGGCTCAATCACAATGTCGACCCTCTCACCGGGGCAGAGCCCTATTATGATTGGCGTAATCATCGCATGGGCGAATCAGCGGCACTCGCTCGGCTACATAAATAATTGAGCCTTAAAGTCGGCCTACGTGCCGTGGATCTAGCTGATGAGGGGTGGACGGACCGACGGATGGTGAAGAGACGGTGCTCCACATTGGACATGCCGCCGTACGCCGTACACCATGCCGCCACTAAGAGGAGAATTATTGCGTAGTATGATGATGGGGCAGTAAGGCGGATCGTTAAAATGTGCACCCTCGATGGGTCTGCTGCTTGTCCCACGGAAAAATACGTTTATGCAAAATGCCGATCTATAAATGTCCCCGGGTTACTACTCAATCAACGCTGCCGGGCTTATTGAGTTGCACGGATTATGTCCATTACAATACGTTGATTGATTCCTTCCGCACGACACTCGCCTATATGGATTTACATATTCAAAGAGCGTAATACGTTGCAACACATAATATATCAATATAACAAGGTTTCAAGCTCAAACCATCTTCACAAGATGGTTTTTCACCATCTTATTTATAGCTTCTTAATCTGGCTTAAAGTCTTTGTGACTCCATCACATTTTATTATCATTGTTTTATATAATCTCGATGAAGAGGAACTCGTGTATATAAGCTACTTAATTCTAAATAGAAACTTTGCAATATTTTCTCAGTGATATATATGTTGAGTTATTAAACGTAATAATATAGAATTTTATTTTAAACAGATTATTTTTCAAAGTTGTATATTATGCGCCTATTAAGATATTCATAATTTTACTTTAAAAAATTGGCACGATGAAGAGAGAGATTTGTTAGAGTGTTTGGCTACATCGTACATTCATAGATCTTGATGAAAGGAACCTCGGAGATCGGCGACGTAGGTGCCATAAAATCAAAAGATTTCAAATTGCGCTATGGCATGATTGTATTTGATCGGTAATCAGTGGTGCACAGTGACGAAGTGCGAGGAAACGACTGTGTGCATGATTTACGACAGCGCGAGAAGTCCGTTCGCCGTTCTGGGGCTCGGCGAGAACTCACGGGTCAGAAAGATTTTCCCTTCCGTGATGGACCGCGAGTCTGGTTCTCACACGTGATTGGCGTGCGTAAATGGGTGACGATTAGATTGGGTGGAAGCTTCGAGATTTTTGAGATGATGATGATGATGATGATAATGATGATGATGATGATGATGATGATGATGATGATGATGATGATAATGATGACAACAATGGCCATAATAATGACGATAATTGTAGCGGAATGAGAGAACACCTAAGGTTCAACAGACACTATCTCCTTCTTCCCTTTCTCTATCATGGTTTCGATTTGAAACGTATCGGCCTTGAACTTGCCGCCACGCTAATGAAGAGCGCCAACGAAGGTCCCTCGCTGCTCACGGTGGACAGCCGCGGCGACGTTTAACTAGCCGCGCTGCTGCTATCTGATGCTGGCAGACCACGGCGAAAGGAGCGACCGATGAAGGAATTATTTTCACTTTCTCCGTCACCATGCCGCCGAGAGCGTAAGTCGGTGCACGTGTACGCTCTCCAAGCTCGACCTCCTCGTCGGAGTTAATTACGACGTTAAATCGCTCCGCCGTGAAGCGCTGAATCGAACGTGACGTAACGAATGGCGCAATGGAAGAAATCGAATACGCAGCATACGACGGCTCTTACTTTCACGGACGCGACAATGTCAGTTGCTCCAAATCTCTTAACACTTCTCTTCATTAACGTAATTTCGTTAATTTCGATCGCAGAAAAGCTTTCTGATTCTGATACTCGTGTTAAGTAACATTAAGAGATGCCGAGATAAATTGACAGTGAGACAATGACAGTTTGTAACTTCTTTTTGTTTTATATTATGCAGGAAGAACGCGAAAGTTATTATATCGCGATTTCTCCCGCGGTTCATGATTTGCTTAACAGACTTCGTAATTACGCGAGCTGTCACGCTTGACATTCCGCGCGTAGAAGAAGAAGAAAAACAAACGGTCGATGAGCTTCGGTGGAAGTAAGTGGTAAGCGAACGTATGTTACACGTGCGAGCGGCGAGTGTCATTACCTGCACACTTTCTCCGATCGAGTCACGTGCGGATAGCGAATAGCGAGAACTACGTCGCAACATTTACCGCGAGAAAGAGAGAAAAGCGGGACAGAGCAGGAAATGATTACATGCTCTAGGACCGAACGTAAGTGAAATAAATGATAGAAGAAAGTGATAAATGAAAAAAAAATCAAACCCTAATAGCATCGGCTTAATATGGATCGTCTCCAAATAATTGATTTTTTAAATAATAAACATTACGCTTTTAGATATAAATTTAATATAAGAATGAGAAATATGAAGTATATAAAACTTTAGAATAAAAAGTAAGAGTAGAGAAAGGAAGGATGGGGACGAAAGAGAATTTCTTACGGTGCAAGGATGA